TATTTACTTATTTATTTATTTATTTATTTATTTATTTATTTTTAATTGAAGATTTATTTATTTATTTTTATTGAAGATTTATTTATTTATTTTTATTGAAGATTTATTTATTTATTTTTATGGAAGATTTATTTATTATTTATTTTTATTGAAGATTTATTTATTTACTTATTTATTTATTTATTTTTTTTTAATTGAAGATTTATTTATTTATTTTTATTGAAGATTTATTTATATACTTATTTATTTATTTATTTTTTATTGAAGATTTATTTATTTATTTTTATTGAAGATTTATTTATTTATTTTTATTTAAGATTTATTTATTTACTTATTTATTTATTTATTTTTTATTGAAGATTTATTTTTTATTTTTTATTGAAGATTTATTTATTTATTTATTTTTATTGAAGATTTATTTATTTATTTATTTTTATTGAAGATTTATTTATTTACTTATTTATTTATTTATTTATTTATTTTTATTGAAGATTTATTTATTTATTTTTATTGAAGATTTATTTATTAACTTATTAATTTATTTATTTTTTATTGAAGATTTATTTATTTATTTATTTTTATTGAAGATTTATTTATTTATTTATTTTTATTGAAGATTTATCTATTTATTTTTATTTTATCATGCAGCCAAGCTACAAAAGAGATAAATAATAAGTTAATAATTAAATTCATTCATTCATTTTATTATTCATTTTCTTTTCGGCTTAGTCCTTTTATTAATCTGGGGTCGCCACAGCGGAATGAACCGCCAACTTATCCAGCATATGTTTTAATGCAGCAGAATCCAGCCGCAACCCATCTCTAGGAAACATCCACACACACTCATTCACACTCATACACTATGGACAATTTTAGCTGACCCAATTCCCCTATACCACATGTTTTTGGACTTGGTTGGGGAAACAGGAGCACCTGGAGCATCCGGTGTGTAAAAACTTGCTGTATAAGTTGGCGGTTCAATCCGCTGTGGCGACCCCGGATTAATAAAGCGACTAAGTCAACAAGAAAATGAAAGAATGAATACTGTTAGACTCCCTAAAAAAAACTCAAATAGAGCTGTTCAAACCATCTTCTGAAACTGTATTCATATTGCAATACTTATCTCAGAAAATGAAAATATTGCAATATCAGATTTTTCCAATATCGTGCAGCTCTAACTATTTGAATATTTGAAACACAAAATGTCTTACAACTTTCTTGATAAAGAAAAAACAAAAAGATTACCTCAAAATAATCCAAATGGAATTATGGTGTTTTGAAACCAACTCTTCATATACAGTTGAAGTCAGAATTATTAGTCCCCCTTTGAGTTTTTGATTTCTTTTATAAATATTTCCCAAATGATGTTTAACATAGCAGGAAAATATTCACAGTATGTCTGATAATATTTTTTCTTCTGGAGAAAGTCTTACTTGTTTTATTTTGGCTAGAGTAAAGCAGTTTTTAATTTTTTAAACACAATTTTAAAGACAATATTATTAGCCCCCTTGGGAATTTCTTTTTCGACTGTCTACAGAACAAACCATCATTATACAGTAACTTGCCTAATTACCCTAACCTGCCTAGTTAACCTAATTAAGCTAGTTAAGCCTTTAAATGTCACTTTAAGCTGTATAGAAGTGTCTTGAAGAATATCTAGTCTAATATTATGACAAAGAGAAAATAAATCAGTTATCAGAGATGAGTTATTAAAACTATTATGATTAGAAATGTGTTGACAAAATCTCTCAGTTAAACAGAAATTGGGGAAAAAATAAACATGGGGGCTAATAATTCTGACTTCAACTGTTTATGTATAATTATTAGCACGTACATATTGCAGGCGACATGTTTTGTCATTTACCCTGGTATTTGTCAATGTACTTCCATAAATGCTTCAGGCTAAATCCAGTCAACACATGATGATCAAAATGAACATTTCACCACACACACACACACAAACACTTGATAAATGATCCTTTTTGTAAGCAATTCTCCACAGAGACCATTAATAATGCACAAACACTGATGAGATATTGAATAGCTTTGCTCTGAATTATAGATACTGCATAAACAACACTGTCAGACTGAAATACTGAGGTTAATATAACACACACACACATCCACAAAACAAGCTATTTCATTATTAATAAGCTCTAAAATGTATAATTAGGTGTAATTCAGTTAATATTTACCTTAAACTTGTCCACCTCAGTCTTTGAGCAGGTGGCATGATACGACAGTACCTAAAAACAAATCATTAAGGGTTGACAGTTTACGCATCACTAAATGTAATATAATATCAACATCATAATCAAGAGAGACAAACTGCACTGAAATCAGATCAGACCACGCCCCTTTACTGCTGCATCCCTCTGATTGGCCAATTAGAGTCTTGAAATCACACTCAAGTAAAAGTACCACACCCAAAGAAATGTAGTGCAAGTAAAGTAAAAGTATGTTCAATTCATCTTTAATTTGTATAGCGCTTTTACAGTGTAGATTGTGTCAAAGCAGCTTCACATAGAAGATCATAGTGAACTGAAACAGTGTAGTTTAGATTTCAGAGTTAAATTCAGTTTAGCTCAGTTCAGTGTGGTTTAATATTCAACACTGAGAATCCAAACACTGCAAATGGTGTTGTAAACATTACTCAGAGTAAGAGTAAACAGAAGCCCTCTTAAGAGTAATTCAAATCACTGCAAAATGAGAGGTGTTATTTCGACTATTTCGTACAGTGAACTCATCGTCATGTTCAAGAAACCAGTCTGAGATGATTGAGCTTTATGACATGCTATCATCTTCTGAAGTAGCCATCAGAAGATGGAGACACTGTGCTCATAAAGGGATGAACATGGTCAGCAGCAATACTCAGGTAGGCTGTGGCGTTGATGCTCAATTGGTACTAATGGACCCAAAGAAAATCTCCCCCACACCATTACACCACCACCACCAGCCTGAACCGCTGATACAAGGCAGGATGATCCATGCTTTCATGTTGTTGAGGCCAAATTCTGAGCCGACCATCCGAATGTGTCAGCAGAAATGGAGACTCATCAGAGCAGCAACGTTTCTCCAATCTTCTATTGTCCAGTTTTGGTGAGTCTGTGTGAATTGTAGCCTCAGTTTCCTGTTCTTAGCTGACAGGAGCGGCACCCGGTGTGCTCTTCTGCTGCTGTAGCCCATCCGCCTCAAGGTTGGACGTGTTGTGTGTTCAGAGATGCTCTTCTGCAGAGCTCGGTTGTAACGAGTGCTTATTTGAGTTACTGTTGCCTTTCTATCAGCTGGAACCAGTCTGGCCATTCTCCTCTGACCTCTGGCATCAACAAGGCATTTGCGCCCACAGAACTGCCGCTCACTGGATATTTCCTCTTTGTCGGAGCATTCTCTGTAAACCCTAGAGATGGTTGTGCATGAAAATCCCAGTAGATCAGCAGTTTCTGAAATACTCAGACCACTGGCACAAACAACCGTACCACACTCAAAGTCACTTAAATCCCCTTTCTTCCCCATTCTGATGCTCAATTTGAACTGCAGCAGATCATCTTGACCATGTCTACCTGCCTAAATGCATTGTGTTGCTGCCATGTGATTGGTTGATTAGAAATTAATGTTAATGAGCAGTTGGACAGGTGTACCTAATAAAGTGGCCGATGAGTTTATTTCTGATGTATAAATATGCATTGCTACGAATGGAATTTGGACAACTATAAAGGCGATTTTGTAAGTATTTAGTTTTTTTTTTCGACACTCAAACTCCAGACACTTTTTGGACACTTCCAACGCTTTCATTGTACATGTTTGCTTTATTTTTTAAAGCGTTTGTGTCTTGGGATTGGTCTGTCGTAATTTTTCTATGCATGATTTGATTGGATGAGATTTAAAGGACTGATCATTACTTAACTAAACACTGTAATGAAGACAAGATAAACATGGTGACTGCAGAAAGAAGGAAAACTGCAATTAAAGTACCATACAGCACTAAAAATATACTCAAGTCAAACTACACATTAGAAATGTGAAAATTAGAAATCGACTCAATGCAGTATTGAAATCTGAAATGAAGTCTGCTCAATATACAGTCATTTGAGTATGTGTATATCATTACTTTACAGTGACGCTGGCATCTATTCATAACACACTGACTGTCTGGCTGTGAAACTGATCTGCGATGTTATGCAATATTAACTTCAGCTCCGCTATAGTGTGCTGACGCTCTATTAAATATTGAAACTCAGACATGAAATCCTCATAAACGCAGTTGGTGTTGCTGTGGAGTGTGAGAGGAGCTCAGAGAACTTAATTAATGCTCTCTCTCTCTCTCTCTCTCTCTGGCTGTAATTCAGTTACACACATAATAAACACACTTGTGCTTATCCTTTTTTCTCTCACAGTCGCTGTAAATACGTCACTGTTTTGTTATTTGCCTGTAAAGTGTGCAATCTCAGAAATAAAGGTACAGAAGCAGTATTTCAAACGGTACATTTTTGCACGTTTATGCACCTTACAGACACAGTATGCAATTTTTGCCACTAGAGGGTGTGTATTCACAACAAACAAAGGTGTAGATTGACACATTTTACTTATAAAGTGAGTAAACCTGTTGCTTTTAAAGCGATTAGTTGACTTTACTTTAATAAAGAGAGTAAACCTGTTGCTTTTACAGCGATTAGTTGACTTTACTTAATAAAGTGAGTAAACCTGTTGCATTTAAAGCGATTAGTTGACTTTACTTAATAAAGTGAGTAAACCTGTTGCTTTTACAGCGATTAGTTGACTTTACTTAATAAAGTGAGTAAACCTGTTGCATTTAAAGCGATTAGTTGACTTTACTTAATAAAGTGAGTAAACCTGTTGCTTTTAAAGTGATTAGTTGACTTTACTTAATAAAGTGAGTAAACCTGTTGCTTTTAAAGCGATTAGTTGACTTTACTTAATAAAGTGAGTAAACCTGTTGCTTTTAAAGCGATTAGTTGACTTTACTTAATAAAGTGAGTAAACCTGTTGCTTTTAAAGCGATTAGTTGACTTTACTTAATAAAGTGAGTAAACCTGTTGCTTTTAAAGCGATTAGTTGACTTTACTTAATAAAGTGAGTAAACCTGTTGCTTTTAAAGTGATTAGTTGACTTTACTTAATAAAGTGAGTAGATTAGTTGACTTTACTTAATAAAATGAGTAAACCTGTTGCTTTTGAAGCGATTAGTTGACTTTACTTTATTTAAGTCAGTAAACCTGTTGCTTTTGAAGCGATTAGTTGACTTTTCTTAATAAAGTGAGTAAACCCTTTGCTTTTAAAGTGATTAGTTGACTTTACTTAATAAAGTGAGTAAACCTGTTGCTTTTAAAGCGATTAGTTGACTTTTCTTAATAAAGTGAGTAAACCCTTTGCTTTTAAAGTGATTAGTTGACTTTACTTAATAAAGTGAGTAAACCTGTTGCTTTTTTAAGCGATAAGTTGACTTTACTTAATAAAGTGAGTAAAAATGTTGCTTTTACAGCGATTAGTTGACTTTACTTAATAAAGTGAGTAAACCTGTTGCTTTTTTAAGCGATAAGTTGACTTTACTTAATAAAGTGAGTAAACCTGTTGCTTTTAAAGCGATTAGTTGACTTTACTTAATAAAGTGAGTAAACCTGTTGCTTTTAAAGCGATTAGTTGACTTTACTTAATAAAGTGAGTAAACCTGCTGCTTTTAAAGCGATTAGTTGACTTTACTTAATAAAGTGAGTAAACCTGTTGCTTTTAAAGCGATTAGTTGACTTTACTTTAATAAAGTGAGTAAACCTGTTGCTTTTCCAGCGATTAGTTGACTTTACTTAATAAAGTGAGTAAACCTGTTGCTTTTAAAGCGATAAGTTGACTTTGCTTAATAAAGTGAGTAAACCTGTTGCTTTTAAAGCGATTAGTTGACTTTACTTCATATAATGAGTAAACCTGTTGCTTTTACAGCGATTAGTTGACTTTACTTAATATAATGAGTAAACCTGTTGCTTTTAAAGCGATAAGTTGACTTTACTTAATAAAGTGAGTAAAACTGTTGCTTTTACAGTGATTAGTTCTCCAGTCTAAGCTCTCCAGTTTCCCCTACAGTCCATTGAACAAGCTAAATTAACTGTAGTGTATGAGAGTGTGTTATTGTGTGTGTGGGTGTTTCCAGTACTAGATTGCAGCTGGAAGGGCATCCGCTACGTAAAACATATGCTAGAATAGTTGGCGGTTCATTCTGCTGTGGCCACCACTGATAAATAAGGGACTAAGCTGAAGGAAAATGAATGAATGATTTATATTAGTCAGAATAACCTCTTACTTCTGAGCAAGAATCATCACCATAAAGCTCCTTGCTCCAATTGAGTGCCTGAATATTTTTTCATCCTATTTCAAACCACATGAGCCGTCAAACCCTCAGGCTTCACAGGTTAAAGTCATCAGCATGCTTTCTGAGCACATAAACCTGCTTTTAGACTGCAAACAAACTCTCGCCGGTGTTTCCAGACGGTGGTTTGGTTGCTCGATTGAAAGCTTTGAAGGGAGAGATTTATTCCTCTGCATCCTGCTGTTTCACTGTTAGATGAAAGAGGTCACATTCTGCTCTTATATAGCACTCCGCTTACCGTATAATGTCAGAAAAGGTTTCATTAATAATAATAATGTGCCTTGAATTGATCCCTATCCATCCTCTCATTGAAATTAAAGCAGGTTTTCTGAGCTCAGTTTTAATAAACGCTCCGGATTAAATGCTATGTTAAACTCAATTTCAGAACAGCTAGAAATGGTCGTTTTCTGTGATATTATGTGGAGGAGAGAGAGATGAAGACTGTGTGAGGTGAATGAATGTCAAAGCTACTCTGAGTCAAGACTGAATTCAGCTCCTCCGGCTCCAGCTTTAAGCTCCGCCTCCCACAGGAACTAGGTCAACATTGCACCAATCACACGCTCCCATTTCATGCTCCATCATTTAAAACTCTGCAATTAGTCACCGCTGTAGAAAAATCCTAGTTACAGTCAGATGTGTGTGTGTGTGGTTCTTGTATTTGTAATGTTGTGGGGACTATATGCATGCAATTATAGAACTAGCAGTAAATGTTGACCTTGTCAGTACATGTTTTGGTCTTCATAAGTAAAATGACTAATAAATCACACTGAATGAAGTATTTTGATAATGTAAAAATGCAGATTGGTTGCTGTGAGGATTTATTTTAGGGATATAGAGATGATATATATAGTAGAAACATCATTATGTCTATGAAAAGTCCCCACTAAGACTGCTGTATAAGTGTGTGTGTGCTTCAGAGAGACATACATACATCCAAAGCCACGGACTGCTTGGCCCAGGACTTCTTCACTTGGTCATACATAATGGTGTTATTAATTCCCAGTCCACAGAAAATCACAAATGCCTACAGAGAGAGAAAAGACCATGTAGTCACACTTAAAAAATCCCATTTAAAGCCCTAAAAGCTTTTCATGGTTTAAGAGCACATTGCAAGAATTTGGTTGCCCTCCCCAACAAACAAACAAAGACAGAAGTGAGTAAACCAGTTGCTTTTAAAGCGATTAGTTGACTTTACTCTTATAAATGTGAGTAAACCTATTGCTTTTAAAGCGGTTAGTTGACTTTACTTTAATAAAGTGAGTAAACCTGTTGCTTTTAAAGCGATTAGTTGACTTTACTTTAATAAAGTGAGTAAACCTGCTGCTTTTAAAGCGATTAGTTGACTTTACTTAATAAAGTGAGTAAACCTGTTGCTTTTAAAGCGATTAGTTGACTTTACTTAATAAAGTGAGTAAACCTGTTGCTTTTAAAGCGATTAGTTGACTTTACTTAATAAAGTGAGTAAACCTGTTGCTTTTAAAGCGATTAGTTGACTTTACTTAATAAAGTGAGTAAACCTGTTGCTTTTAAAGCGATTAGTTGACTTTACTTTAATAAAGTGAGTAAACCTGTTGCTTTTAAAGCGATTAGTTGACTTTACTTTAATAAAGTGAGTAAACCTGTTGCTTTTAAAGCGATTAGTTGACTTTACTTTAATAAAGTGAGGAAACCTGTTGCTTTTAAAGCGATTAGTTGACTTTACTTAATAAAGTGAGTAAACCTGTTGCTTTTAAAGCGATTAGTTGACTTTACTTAATAAAGTGAGTAAACCTGTTGCTTTTAAAGAGATTAGTTGACTTTACTTAATAAAGTGAGTAAACCTGTTGCTTTTACAGCGATTAGTTGACTTTACTTAATAAAGTGAGTAAATCTGTTGCTTTTAAAGCGATTAGTTGACTTTACTTAATAAAGTGAGTAAACCTGTTGCTTTTAAAGCGATTAGTTGACTTTACTTGATAAAGTGAGTAAACCTGCTGCTTTTGAAGCGATTAGTTGACTTTACTTAATAAAGTGAGTAAACCTGTTGCTTTTGAAGCGATTAGTTGACTTTACTTAATAAAGTGAGTAAACCTGTTGCTTTTAAAGCGATTAGTTGACTTTACTTAATAAAGTGAGTAAACCTGTTGCTTTTAAAGCGATTAGTTGACTTTACTTAATAAAGTGAGTAAACCTGTTGCTTTTACAGCGATTAGTTGACTTTACTTAATAAAGTGAGTAAACCTGTTGCTTTTAAAGCGATTAGTTGACTTTACTTAATAAAGTGAGTAAACCTGTTGCTTTTAAAGCGATTAGTTGACTTTACTTGATAAAGTGAGTAAACCTGCTGCTTTTGAAGCGATTAGTTGACTTTACTTTATTTAAGTCAGTAAACCTGTTGCTTTTGAAGCGATTAGTTGACAATAAAGCTCAACTTGAGTTTGTCTTGAAGAGATTACACAGATTATTTAAGTTATACCTCGAACAGCCTCTGATCTGCATCATCAAATGGTTTCCCGTCGAGTCTGTTCAAGACCTGAGCCACACCTACAACACACAAAGACAGAGATTTCATCACATACTGTACTGTGAGGACCTGCAATGCACAGTAAAGCACTAGAGTATTAAAGGGACAGTCCTCATCATTTAGTCAAACCCAAGTGATTTTACAGGTATATGAATTTCTATTTTCTGTTGAACACAAAATAAGATATTCTGATAAATGTAAAAATAAGATAAGATTAAAATCAGTCATTGACATCAATACTAGAAACAAAAAATACAATAGAAGTCAATGGCTGTTTTTCCAGCATTCTTCAGTCTTCATTTTTGGCTTTGGTACTGACTAATCTAATGTACACACACCAACATATTACTGTAAAGCATCCTATATCAAATATTAATTTAAAAGAGAGATCTGTGAGGCGTGCACTCATGCTGAGCACTGTATATATGAAGAGGGTTCAAAGAGTGCAGGAGTGAATCTCACTGCTAATTAAACCATCTGCTGCATTGAGTGTATTATAATTGTAATTGAACTGTATGTATTATAGTATGCATTTATAATAACAATGTAATGCACAGTCATTTAAAAATACATAACAATTACAGCATTTTATCACACATAAATAATTATTTGTCACCATCTCAGAAGTTTAAGCGATGTTTAAAATGAAGCTTGCGTGATTTTGGATGTGTTATGCAATAGTTACCTCATCTGCATACTGTATATGAATGCGCAGACTATTTTTAAACCTGTATGTGGCATTAGGCAGAGATGAATGATCCAGACTGTAAATGTTGTCTCATGACCTCATTAAAGGCATGTGATATTTAGAGGCGCCTAGTTATCGTCTTCATAAGGAATATGATAATGATGACTATGGTAGGGATTATATGAAGTGTTCATTTGTAATGAAAGCCACGCAGGGGGAAACAATAAAAAGAAATCATTTTTGGTGATGCCTCTTGAATGGCTTTAGTTTTTGTTTTTATTAGAGACTTTGCAATCTTACTTAAAAGCGTATTAGTGCCATTTAAAAATAAAAAAATAAATATATAATTAAATAACTAACTAATTAAATAAATAAATAAATAAATAAAATAATGAATAAATAAATCAAATTATTAATAAATTAATTAATAAATAAATAGATAATAAATAAATAAATACAATTATTAATTGATTAATAAATTAATTAATTAATTAATTTAATAATTATTAAATAAATAAATAAATAAATAAATAAATAAATAAATAAATAAATAGATAAATAAATAAATCAAATAATAAATAAATTAATTAATAAATAAATAAATCAAATAATAAATAAATAAATAAATAAATAATTTATTTATTTATTTATTTAATTATTTATATATTCAATTAAATAATTAATATAAATATTATGAGAATAATGTTGAAATTGTTCAAGAATAATGGCGTGATGTACGGCACGATTTGTTGCTATTTTTCATTTTGCATGTTCTCCCCGTGTTGTTGTGGGTTTCCTCCGTGTGCTCCGGTTTCCCCCACAGTCCAAACACATGCGCTATAGGGGAACTGATCAACTAAATTGGCTGTAGTGTATGAGTGTGTATGTAAATGAGTGTGTATGGGTGTTTCCCAGTACTGGGTTGCAGCTGGAAGGACTTCCACTGCGTAAACCATATGCCTGAATAGTTGGCAGTTCATTCCACTGTGGCGACCCTTGATAAATAAGGGATTAAGCTGAAGAAAAATGAATGAACGAAAAAGCGAGGGTTAAAATAACAAGCATCAAGCCAGAAACACACTGAACGCTGTAGTAAAATGCAGTCAGTGACTGCTGAGTGTTATACAGCATCTCCTTTGCGGACAGTGGGATCTTATAGAGCAGAAATTCAGAGGGTTTCTCTCCTCGCCGTACTGAACGTTCTCACACTGAGAGAAAGGAAAGCTGGTTGTGAAAGAACAGCAGAGATGAAGAAAGCGATGAAAAGCGAAAGAGCGAGGAGGAATCTTTTGAATGAACACATCCTTGACTTCTGCTTCTACTGAGTGTGTGTGTGTGTGTGTGTGTGTGTGTGTGTGTGTGTGTGTGTGTGTGTGTGCTTATAATGACTTCACGGTCCTGACAGAGTCCTCCCACACACACACACATACAGGCGCACACACAGACATCCACCCACGCACACTGCGCTCTGTGCAGCAGCACACACACACACACACACACAAACACACACGAGCGCACGCACACACCAATATACAGCTGAAGTCAGAACTATTCGCCCTCCTCTGAATATTTTGTTCTTTTTATAATATTTCGCAAATGATGTTGAACAGATTCAGGAATCTTTCTCAGTATTTCCTGTAGTATTTGTTCCTCTGGAGAAAGTCTGATTTGATTTATTTCGGCTAGAATAAAAGCAGTAAATCAATATGGCAATGTGATCATTCAGAAAAGTCACATCATAGGATTTGCAATGTTGCATTTGTATTATAATCGATCATTTGTATGTGTTTTTGATGCCTGTGATGGTATAATGACTTTAAAAGCATTCAGGCATCAGAATATAAACCATTTATGACCTTAGCTATGATTGAAGTTTACTGTATCATTCTGTTACTGTCTCTGAATACTGTTAGACTTGATGAAACGTTTTATTTCAGTTGCAACTTTTTTTTTTTTTTATTGTGTTCTGATGAGTCTCCATTTCTGCTGACACATTCAGATGCTCGGGTCAAAATTTGGCCTTAACAGCATGAAAGCATGGATCCATCCAGCCTTGTATCAGCGGTTCAGGCTGGTGGTGGTGGTGTAATGGTGTGGGGGAGATTTTCTTTGGGTCCATTAGTACCAATTGAGCATCAACGCCACAGCCTACCTGAGTATTGCTGCTGACCATGTCCATCCCTTTATGAGCACAGTGTCTCCATCTTCTGATGGCTACTTCCAGCAGGATAACGCAGCATGTCATGAAGCTCAATCATCTCAGAATGGTTTCTTGAACATGACGATGAGTTCACTGTACTCAAATGGCCTCCTCAGTCACCAGAGCTCAATCCAATAGAGCAGCTTTGGGATGTGGTGGAATGGGAGATTGGCATCATGGATGTGCAGCCGACAAATCTGCAGCAACTGTGTGATGCTGTCATGTCAATAAGGAGCAAAATCTCTGAGGAATATTTCCAGTAGCTTGTTGAGTCTCTGTCATGAAGGATTAAGGCAGTTCTGAAGGCAAAAAGTGGTTCAGCCTGGTACTAGTAAGGTGTACCTAATAAAGTGGCCGGTGAGTGTATATTGCAAAATAAAAAATTTTTTCACAATGTTAGATTTTTCAGTATCGTGCAAACCACTGTTATACAATGACTTGCCTAATTACCCTAACTTTACCCTAGTGAAGCCTTTAAATGTCACTTTAAGCTGAATACTAGTGTCTTGAAGAATACCTAGTCTAATATTATCATGGCAAAAAGAAAAGAAATCAATTATTAAAACTATTATGATTAAAATTGTGCTGAAAAATTCTCTCTGTTAAACAGAAATTGGGGAAAAATATAATAATCCTGACTTCAACTTTAAAATCCCGACACACATTCTCACACATTCCCAATGTGTGTGTATTAGTAAAACAGCAGCAAACAGTTAAGCAGATAACTCACCGATGATTTGGTGGTTACTGTTCCAGATGGGGACACACAGCACAGATCTGATGTGGAAGCCGGAGAACTGATCTGCCTGAAGAGATTGGAACACACACACTTGTCAACCACATTAAAATGAACATCAGCTCGTGAGGGAAAAGCCGGCATAACTATGAGATGCACTGAAGACACGGCGTTACGTAAAGCGGAGCCGCAGGCTTTTAAGTAGACACTCACACACACACACACACACACACACACACAAGTGGACAGAGGGCAAAGATTCACGCAGAGCAGAAGTAAAAATCAGCTTTAATCAGGCTTTCATTCTGGGTTCAACACAGCGCTGTACTGCTCTAGCATTTAGCATTTCTTCTGTGTTTTCCTTTATAATATTTGACTGGTTATTTTGCAAGATACTCGCATTCAGCATCCACTTTTTGGGAAATAGGCTCATTTCACAGCTCTACTAGAGTTAAATAGTTGAGTTTGACTCTTTTTGAGTTCATTCAGTCAATCTCCAGGTCTGGTGGGAGCACTTTTAGCTTAGCTTAGCATAGATCATTGAATCGGATTAGACCATTAGCATCTCCTTCAAAAATTGACCAAAGGGTCTCTTATTACACAGTTATTTGTCTTACTATCTTACTATACTTATTTAAACACCTTTATACTGTGCAGAATTAAGCATTTCCTTTGTGTTTTCCATAATGACAGTACACAATATTGGTGGTTCATTCCACTGTGGCGACCGCCTGATAAATGAGAAAATAAGCTGAAAGAAAATCATTGAATGAATGAGTAAATCAAATTTTACTGCTTATTTCGCAATATTCTAGCATTCAGCTTAAAGCAACACAACATTTTTAGCGTAGCTTAGCATAAATCATTGAATCGGATTAGACCGTTAGCATCTCGCTCAAAAATGATCAAAGGGTCTCTTATTACAGTTTTTTGTCCTACTGTCTTCGTCCACTAAAACACCTTTATACTGCACTAGCATCAAGCATTTCTTTTGCGTTTTCCATAATGACAGTATATAATATTGGTGGTTCATTCCGCTGTGGCAACCCCTGAGAAATGAGGGACTAAGCTGAAAGAAAATCATTAAATGAATGAAGGAATGAAAGAGTAAATAAAATTATAATGCTCATTTCGCAAGATTCTAGTATTCAGCTTAAAGCAACGCAACATGTTTAGCATAGCTTAGCATGGATAATTGCATCGGATTAGACCATTAGCATCTCGCTCAAAAATGACCAAAGGGCCTTTTATTACACAGTTATTGGTCTTACTGTCTATACTAAAACACCTTTATACTGCACTAGCATCAAGCATTTCTTTTTGTTATTTCCATAAGGAAAGTACATAATATCGGCGGTGCATTCCACAGTGGTTAGACTTTTAAGCTTTGATCCTAATTGTGGCGTTTTGGTGACTGTCACTTTAAATTCAAATGAGATTGGGTTCTTTTCAAAAGAGGGCGGAGCTAGAACCAGCTGTGTGTCAGTACAGTGGCAGAGTCAAAAATAAAACTAATGTCATATGCTAATGAGGGAGAGATGGTCACTAGTAGGCGGGGCTTTCCTCCTCTGATGACATCATACAAAGGGAGAATGTCAATCAGAGTGTTTCTGCAGACTGATTTCATCAAGTCTGATTATACAAAAATACAATTAGTACATGTTTACCATCAGAAGCTGGTTATATTCACACATTGTTCCCACACAGCTCAATTTAAACAAGTGATTTGTGCATATTAGGTCCCCTATATGTTGTTTTTACCCTGAATTCTCCTTTATTGTGAAGTTTAACCTCTTGTTTTGTTTAAAAGGCTGCAATATGCAAATTCTGTTCTGATTTAATGCATCACCCAAAGCTTTTCACTGATTGGCTGGAGCCTTTACCTCAGCGTCGAATCGAGGGTCTTGATAGGCGTCGCTGATGTTCACAGGAAGTCCAGTGGAGGCCACCAGCTCTGCAATGCTGTTATTGATCAGCCAATCAGAGTATGAGGATTTATCCATGCTGTCCTTAAAGCTGTGGATAAGACAAGCAGAAAGAGACATCACTCAACCATTGATTTCACTATGGAGCCTTTTCACATTGGCGGGTTTCTCAGCAGCAGAAGTCGTCATATTTAGTCAACTTATAGCGCAGCGAATGGGAGAGTACAACAAACTGTTTATTTATAATAATATTTGCTGAAATAATAAAAGAAAAATTATATGACTAACACTATGATGGTGTTATATGGAAGGTAAAGGTAAAGTTAGGGTAATTAGGCAAGTCATTGTATAACAGTGGTTTGTTCTGGAGACAATCCAACACTAATATTGCTGAAGGGGCGAATAATATTGACCTTAAAATGGTGTTAAAACAATTAAAAACTGCTTTTATTCTAGCCCAAATAAAACAAATAAGATTTTCCCCAGAAGAACAAATATTAAAGGAAACACTGTGAACAATTCCTGAATCTGTTCAGCATCATTTGAGGAATACTTAAAGCCTATAAATTCACAGGAGGGTGAATAATTTTGACCTCAGCTGTATATAAAATTGTTCATTTCTGATTGTAATCATTACTTTTTAATTGAAATGTGCTTCGTTTTTTAATCAATTAATTACTAGTGATATTCCCAGAGATGGGTTGCGGCTGGAAGGGCATCCGAACTTGCTGGATAAATTGGCGGTTCATTCCGCTGTGGCGACCCCGAAATAATAAAGCCGATAAGAAAATGAATGAATGAATTACTAGTGACAGAAATGCGCCGTTCTCTGTATTATTTCTGCCTCTGTTTCTCTCTCATCTGGTCTGATCAAACACACTCTCCATCACAACAGCGCTATGAATGTGTGTGTCTGGACGAGCAGCAGAAACGCGTCTTTCTGGCGTCTGCCCGCGAGCGCAGGACAAATCATCCTTACATAATGCATCCGGCTGAAGCTTCAGAGGAGCCGACAGAGGATCCAATAATTACTAGATAACACACAGAACTTGAGGAAATTCCCTGTGTGCGGCGGGAACATGCAGCACTGATGCTGTATCCTGTTTTTTAATTGTACATTATTTTCCTTCAACTTAGTCCCTTATTTATCAGTGGTCGGCACAGTGGAATGAACCGCCAACTATTCCAGCATATGTTTTAAACAGCGGATACCCTTCCAGCTGCAACCCAGTACTGGGAAACACCCATTCACACACAAACACTCATAGACTACGACCAATTTAGTTCATCAATTCCCCTATAGCGCATGTGATTTGACTGTGGGGGAAAGCGGAGCACCTGAAATAAACACACACCAATGTAGCGCCCTCACCGCAGATGAGGGACAATAATGTTAATAAAAACAGGAAACACGGAGCTGCTGCTGCTTCACGTCAGAGTCTGTGTATTGTTTTTTTTTTTAAATGAATGCACATAAAAATATACTTTCACATTGTAGAACAATATATGTAAACATCTTCACAGATATTATATATATAAAATCACAAAATATTCACAAACATATTCCCTGCACATTACTGTTATAAACTACTATAAAGTCATTATATGATTCTTCCTAAATAAACTTTTCAGTTTAATTGTCCTATAACACACACAAAGCCTATAACCGACCTAAACATATATTTCTCTTTATATATACATTGTAACCAACTATGGGAAATAATAGCACTTTGTGTCTTTATAGTTACTTTGTAACAATATTCCCTTTGTTAGTTGTTATGTTGATACATATAATATTCATTCACTTGACCGTTTCTTCAGTTGACATTTAAATCATCACTGTTGCCATTGGAATTACAGTGCAGAGCGGATATATAAGGAAGAAATGAATGAGTAAATTAAAATTTACTGCTTATTTCGCAAGATTCTAGTATTCAGCTTAAAGCAACGCAACATTTTTAGCATAGCTTAGCATAGATAATTGTATCGGATTAGACCATTAGCATCTCGCGCAAAAATGACCAAAGGGCCTTTTATTACACAGTTATTGGTCCTACTGTCTCACTATCCTTAAACATCTTTATACTGCACTAGCATCAAGCATTTCTTTTGTTATTTCCATAAGTAAAGTACATAATATCGGCGGTTCATTCCACTGTGGTTAGACTTTTAAGCTTTGATCCTAATTGTGGCGTTTTGGTGACGTTCGCTTTAAATTCAAATGAGATTGGGTTCTTTTCAAAAGAGGGCGGAGCTAGAACCAGCTGTGTGTCAGTACAGTGGCAGAGTCACAAATAAAACTAATGTCATATGCTAATGAGGGAGAGATGGTCACTAGTGGGCGGGGCTTTCCCCCTCTGATGACATCATACAAAGGGAGAATGTCAATCACAGTCTTTCTGCAGACTGATTTCATCAAGTCTGATTATACAAAAATACAATTAGTACACATATATTTCTCTTTATATATACATTGTAACCAACTATGGGAAATAATAGCACTTTGTGTGACTATATAGTTACTTTGTAACAATATTCCCTTTGTTAGTTGTTATGTTGATACATATAATATTCATTCACTTGACCACTTCACTTGAAATCATCACTGTTGCCATTGGAATTACAGTGCAGAGCGTATATATATATATATATATATATATATATATATATATATATATATATATATATATATATATATATATACAGTTAATACGAACTCATATTAATATACACTATCAGATTAATTAGATGACACTTGTTGCTTTCATATCTCTAACGTATATTCAACACATTTTGATAACGATTTCAATATTTCACACCTGATGAGGGACAATAATGTTAATAAAAACACAGGAAACACGGAGCTGCTGCTGCGTCACGTCAGAGTCTGTGTATTGTTTGAGCAGCAAGCCCCTCCCCCTCATTAGTTATGCAGCCTACAGGCAGAAGTAGCCAATCGGAAAAATGTAAATCGTTTATTGTCTACTTAATAAAACGAAAGTGTACAGACTAGAAAGAAAAAATTTACTTTGATTTTCAATTTCTAATAATTTGTAACCACTTCACCAACGCGGGAAGAACATGTACCACTGACCCAACCGGGACTCGAACTAGCAACCTTCTTGCTGTGAGGACACCACTGAGCCACCGTGCCGCCCTTGTGTTTTACACAAAACTGCTGCTATATTGACGCGGGTATCCACAGCTGTATCCCATCTAGACATTACCGGTGGTTGCCAGATCTCTTGATTGTTCCCTCGTTTGCTATTCCCTTCTAACGAATGAATGACGTGAGGTGCACTATTGTCATGTCAAGCACTTCCAAACGTCCCTCTACAGCTTTAACAGTAAATCAGACGCATCCTGGAATCAATTTATGGTTTTAATATCTCAGTTTAAGCCAGATGTAAAGTGAATTGCACCTCAGATGAGCTGGAGGCATCAGTGTGTGTGCGCGTGTGTGATCTCCCTAGACGCAGATCTGCTGCAACATTAGACAGGTGCAGAGAATGAGGCGACATGTGCGACTGAACACACAGTGCAGTGTGAACGCTCCCATATGGCAGCTGAGATCTGCACATCTACACAGAATCAGGAGCTCACATGAGAGAACATGTTTGCTCTCCGTCCTGTTCTCCTCTATGGCTCTGTCTTTGTGTGTGTGTGTGTGCGTGTGTAAGTGTGTGTGTGTTCTAAGAGCTGAACTCAGGGTTTTGAGACTCCACTGCTGGACCTGCTGGTGTGCTGAGTGTGGGCTGCAGATAACAGAGACCACACAATAACCCTGACCTAGCTGACAAACTAGAGTTCGGCATATACACTAGTGCACTACAGCACTGCGTGCACCTTACAGACCTGATGAAGGTTTACAGGACCACACACACCATCACATGCACCCTACAGCGCCACACACACCCTGCAGCGCCACACACATGAAATATAAAGTATGACACAGTTCAACAATAAGCTCATTAGTGCCTCTTAAATGTCTTCGGGATGCATAATATGAAGATTAGGCTTGTGTTGTGGGTGTTTCCCATATCAAAGTCCCATATCACACATGCACACAAACACACACTGAGAGCAAACACTCCTGCGGGCAGTGATACTGTCACATCTCTCTCCAGCAGTGCCTGTGTGTGTGTGTGTGTGTGTGTGTGTGTGTGTGTGTGTGTGTGTGTGTGTTATAGGTCGTAGCAGTAGTCAGTGTGAGGGAAACGCATCAGCCACCTGCCGCCTGCTGCAGTTCACAGCAAACAAACAGCAGCAGCAGTCTGAAACAGCCTCATTAGTGCTACAGCTACACTCTCTATGAGCTGTGTGTGTGTGCGTGCGTGTGTGTGTGTGTGTGTGTGTGTGTGTGTGTGTGTTTGCGTGTGTGTGTGTGTGTGTGTGTGTGTGTATGTGTGTGTGTGTGTGCGTGTGTGTGTGTTTGCGTGTGTGTGTGTGTGTGTGTGTGTCTGTTTAACCTGGTGTTAGCCGCACCTGTTCTCCATGTCAGCGCTGCATTTGGGTGATAGAAGCTCAAAGGACTTGGTGAACTTCACCACCTGTAGGAGATAACACCAGCAGGATTAGAAGAGGACGATGAAGATGATGAAGAAGATGATGATGATGATGATGATGATGATGATGAAAGTCAAGTAGAAAATAGTAAAGATAATGAAGAAGAAGATGATGATGATAAGGATGAAGATGATGGTGATGAAGAGAACGATGATTATGATGATGATGATGATGATAATGAAGAAGAAGAAGATGATGATGATGATGATGATGATGATGATGTTAATAAAAATGATGATAAGGATGAAGATGTAGAAGATTATGATAAAAAGGAGAATGAAGATGAAGATGATGATGATGATGATGATGATGATGATGAAGATGAGAATGTAGATGAAGAAGATAATGATGAAGGTGATGATGAAAATGATGATGAAGATAATGAAGCGGAAGAAGATAATGATGGTGATGATGAAGATGATGATGAAGATGATGGTGATGATGATGAAGATGATGATGATGGTGATGATGAAGATGATGATGATGATGATGATGAAGAAGATAATGATGATGAAGATGATGATGATGATGAAGAAGATGATGATGATGGTGATGATGAAGATGATGATGATGATGATGAAGAAGATAATGATGATGAAGATGATGATGATGATGATGATGATGATGAAGATGTTAATAAAAATGATGATAAGGATGAAGATGAAGAAGATAATGATGAAGGTGATGATGAAGATGATGATGAAAATAATGAAGATGAAGAAGATGATGATAATGAAGATGATAAGAATGAAGATGATGAAGATGAAGATGATAAGAATGAAGATGATGAAGGATGTGTGTGTGTGTGTGTGTGTGTGTGTGTGTACCGGAGACTCGATGTCCTCCAGCAGCTGGACAGAGCAGCGTTCACACTTCAGCAGAGTCTGAGCGCGGTGCATGATCTTCCTCACGATCTTCTCCAGATCCGTCTGCTCCTCGAACAGATCATTCACCACCTCCAGTAGAGCCTACACACACACACACACACACACACACACACACACACA